CATAAAGTAAATTAAAATATAGACTAGTCAAATACGAGCTCAATTCAAACAGCTTATTTACAATGCCCCTAGGGACAGTAGGCTTATAGAAAACAAATATGAAGGCTCATTATTCCGAATGTTTTGACTAGAAATATATATACTCAGTAAACTTTCAGATAAGAGAGCTTATGCATCATTTCATGAGGCATTATCTACCTCTAAGAGGTTCACATACGACATGAAAGATTTTAAGCTTTTTTTCTTATTTTAAGCATTATAATTAATTCATAATGTAATTGTTATGAATAGGGAGGGAGCATATATTTTGGGAGAAAGAGAACTATTTTATGGTCCGTTTGGGGCACCTTGTGCGTTTCAGGAAAAACTGCTTATCCTGAAACGCGGCCCGCGGGCAGTCCGTAAAGGTTGACCCGCGGCCTGCGTTTAGTGTAAAAACACAAACGCAGTTTTGGATAAGCTGGTGTAACGCATGAACCAAACAATACGACTATTATTTCATTGTGGATGTTTTGATTAATGCTAAGTTATTTCCAAAACTATTATTTTTGAATATTATTAGTTGATTTTATTTAGTTGTGCAAAGACTGTTGAATGATTTTATAAAATTCAGCTACATGAACATATAGTTAATTTGATTTCACTTATTCAGTGCTTTGATCTATTTCCTTGTCACTACAGTAAAAGTTGCTGATAATTTTGTAATATTCATAATTAGGTTTTTTTATGTTTCTTATACATTAAGTATTGTTGATGGATTGCTATCTTATATTAGAATTTTTGTTGGTTTTCATTATGGGGTTGTTTGGTCGGCAACATTAGGAATGCATGACATTCCTAATCCAGAGGTTTTAAAAATTCAGTTGTATATCAGAAGAAATTGAAAATAAATTAAAATATCATTGTATTTGAAATTCGACCATAAGTTCTTTTTCTCTGAATTTGAAATTCGTCTGATTTGATCGAATTTCAAAACATAGTTAAATGTGAAATGTTATTCGCAATCCGCTCGCCCGTTGCAAGCCATTGCCGCCACCCAACAACTTCAAAGTATTCAAATACCATACATCACTCTTGCATTGCATTTATTTTAAAGTGCATTACCATTTCAACCAACCAAACAACCCATAAATCTAAAAGTTATAGCCAATTCAATCATGTTGAGTGACTTAACCTTGGATGATAATACTCCACCACATGCGGCTTCAACTTTAGTCGATGTTGACTTTAAATTTTATTGTGTGTTAAATTTGATTTATTCACATTAGTTGGTCAATTTTATTTGAATTTGCAAATAATACACATATTTGAAATCTCAATAGAAAACATCTTTTAAAAATTGTTAAACAAAAAATTTACAGATCTAGTAGTGGTTTTAACTGTTATTACCATGTACAAAAAGATAATTGTTGCAAATTTACTTGCAATAGTAGTTGTAGAATTATAGTTAGTATTTAAATTTTTATAGCATTTGCAGTGGCTAAACTGTTGCAAATCTAAAAAAGTTGTAGTGGACAAAATTATTGCAAAAATATTTTTTCCAATGGTTACAAAATCAAAGTTTAATGTCATCAGAGGTAGAATCACATATAACTTATAGGGGACAATTGACCCCCTTGAATTTTAGGTATTTTATTTATTAAGATGGATAATTTTATCATTTTGGTTGCTTGCCCCAATAGCCCGCCCAACCCATTCTCTATGCATGTTTGTTGAGAGATTTGTTGAAATAGATGGAACTGTAATAGCAGAAGAGCTCTGGGATATATGGCCTCAACTCAATCCGCACACGTAGAAGATGAATAATTGAAGGATTTAATGAGACGAAAATTAGAAAGATGATCACAATTTTAATGTTTGCCATCTGAAAATAGATTTAGCATATAAGTGGTCATTTTACACACACACAAACACACAAACAGAGAGAGAGAGAGAGAGAGAGAGAGAGAGAGAGAGAGAGAGAGAGAGAGAGCATGTATGTATGTAAATATCCCAAGGCTAGTATCCTGTAGTACTTGATCCCGATTTTATATGACAGTACGATGCATGTAGTTATAATTTTAATTTTTTCTTACTTATTTTTCTTACTTTGTAACGACAGCTAAAAACTTGATTACCGGCAACAACTAGGCAAAAATTGACTTCGAAGCAAATAAGAATACAATTATTATATTTAAATATGAGATATTACGCAAGTATGCGTATCGTTATCAAGCGTATCGTTATCAAGCAATATAATCAAGCAATATAAGATTTTTTTATTAAACTCTGAATGTCAAACGCATAGGGAAAAAAATAAAATATGCAACTAAAATAAGAAGAAATTAGATAACAAATTCTACTTTGCAAAATATTCTTACTCAAAATATAGATGCTATAATAGGAATGAAAGCTCGATTCTTTTTTGTAATTTTTGGTGATTAAAAAGTAAAAACTAATTAAACTTAACTAGATATTTGTAAGATGAAGACAATAAAAATAAAATATTTTTTTCCTTATCATGAATCAATAAAAAGTATAGGAATTCTGTTGTGAAAGTATTCAAATTGTGTTTCAAATT